ATGATCCGGATGTGGCTGCTATGGTGAATATTTACGAAAGGAGTTTACGCGCTGCCGATAGCCGGGATTTGCAACTGAGCATTGGTGCCACCGGAATTGCTACGGAAGATGGTTTATATCCCTGGGGGGAGATTTGGGATGAGCAAGTGGTGTATAAATCATTTGGCGGCCGCAGCCGTTCCAGAAATGGCAGCTCCGGTAGTGACAAAGCTTTTTTAACCTTCTATTGCAACAGCCATTACATTGCTATCCCAATATTAGATTTAACAATCACTGCCGGTAAGCTGGATAACCTGTTGTATATCTATCGCGGACGTTATGAGCGATCTAAGCAATAAGTCGATAAAGTCAGGAGCGTGTTATAAAATATCCCGAAAACCAAACAGGCCTTGCGATCATGCAGGCCTGTTTGGTAAAATCAAAAAAATCAACCAGGGTTTATACCATTATTTTGCGGGCACCGGAATACGTGCCTGTATCATTTGCCAGTCATAAAAGTGAAAGGCTTTTCCATTGGTCATGGCTACGAACAGGCCCTTAGGAAATTGGGCTCCCAATGCAGTACTGGTAACTTCAGAGCCATCACTTTCAAGTGTGGAGAACGGAATGGAAGTGATTACCAGGTGCTTATTTACATCCGCCGGGCTGCCTTCCCTTGGATAGATATTAAAGCTGTTGGCCTGCTGGTTGGATACCAAGAGATAACCCGTGCCATCAGCATGTTTGTAAATGGAGATGCCTTCTATGTCTTCCTGGAAATCCTTTTGCCCGAACAATGCCAGCTCTTCGTTTCCCTTATCCGGTGCTGCATAATATTTATGAATACCATATTGCTCATCGGAGTAATAAACATAACCAAGCTCATTGTCAACAGCAATTGATTCAATCTCTTTCTTGCCGCTGTATTTTCCGAATTTGCGTACTATGGTGGCGGCGATTGTTCCACTTCCATTGTCCTTTAATTCATACTGCCAGAGATAACCATCTGATGGTCCCGACTTGCGGCCTACGATGGCAAATATGGCATGGTCGGACGGTCTTGTGTACAGGGCTATGCCCATCGGAAAATGTTCCGCCTCTCCCTCAAATACCGCGATGCCACCATTGTCCAGCGGTTGTAGTCCGGGCATACTGTAGATGCGGATCTTGCCGGTTTCGCGTTCCGTAAGCACTACAATATCGGTGGGCTGCCCGTTCATGTTCAGTCCGTAGGCGATATCTACATTGTTAGGGCGTTTTAAGCCGGTTATTTTATTGACGATTTTTCCAGCCAGGTTAAACACATACAGCCCGCCCTCGCTGTTTTTATCCGTGCCCACAATAAGGCTTTGAGCGGCATCAGCCGGGTTGATCCAGATGGCAGGATCATCGGTATCATAACCCACCTGGTCTGATATAATGGTGGGCGCTAATGCCTGCTTATTGGTTTCACTATTTGTCCGGTCTGTTTTAGAGGAGCAGCCCAGCGCAACGGACAATAGCATCAGCGCTGAAAGTGAGGTGTACTTAATATGCATTTGAAAGTTTGGTGTGAGATGGATCAATCAATTTATGGGTGAAGGGTAGTGGTATGCAGCACCTGGCCGTCTATACCGATTACCTGCACCAGTATAGTTTGCTCATTGACCGCAAAGGTCATGAAGCCGGGCTTTGATGCCCAGAACTGAGTGCCGTCGGTAGGCCCGGAGGGGCGTACTTCACAACCGGCACCGGATAAAAACTGGGTGGTATATTGGCCTGCCGGTTTTATGATCTGTAGGTCATGTTCATGACCGCAGATGTAGGCGGCAACTTTATTTTTATAGAAGAGTGCCTGGAACTTCTGTTTTATTTCTTCGGTATCCGGACTTTTTTTGCGTTTCCCGCCGCTGTAGAGCGGATGATGCCCTACTACAATTTTCCATTTAATAGTACGGGAGGTATCGCCTAATGTTTTCTCCAGCCATTGCCGTTGGGCAGCTGTATCTTGCTTCAATATATTTTCAGTCAGCTC